ATACTTGAATTATACAGATCAGCAGGTAAGTTTAATCTAGCTGGTTCGTGAGCTACTTTACAACGAGACCTTTTTGCTTCAGACTTTAAATTTAAATATTTTATATTTATCATCTTGAGTTCTACTTACATCACTTCTATTCATCTTTGTTTCATCTTGTTCTTTCAATTTGGGGAATCTACATTCTGGGGGGCTGCCACAAGGTTGAGCCCCTGTTGTACTTGGACTGTACCTCTGTACCTTGCTTGTGGCCGTGGATTGGTGGAAAAGTGCCTAGGGCCCAGTTTCCTTGAATGCAGTATGTTTGCTAGTAAACTTGCCTTTGTTTTTGCATAGTAACTTGATTGTATGGACAAATTACTCTTTTTATGGATTTTGCGATAACGTAATATTTTCACTATGATAAAGTTTGTGAGGCTTTCGCGGCCCAGGTTTGTTGATAAAGTGTTTTCATTCGGGCTTAATGGCCGTCGTTAGTTGGAATTTCTTCCTGAATTTTCGCTAGCACGCATGGCTAGCATCTTCAGAGGTGCTTCCATGTCCGATTCTGGTAGCAGACTGACGCGTTCCCGACCGTAAGTTGTTTTTATGTGTGAGTGGCTGTGGTTGGGAAGGGGCGGGGCTTCGCGGCACGTGGCTAATCTCAACTTTCTCTGTACTCTTGCGTTTTTGAGGACCGAGTTCCAGTTTTAGTTAAGTTTTAGTGTCTCTTCTTTCCTGTTGAAGTTCTCCGTATGTTTGTGGATTTCTATAGCTTCACGTATAAGACGATTGTGGTATCCGGAAGCCGATACGAGAAGCTTGACCTCACCAAATAGTATTTCGTGATTCTCTTCACTAAGCGCATGTTCCGCTACTGCCGATTTTTCCGATTGTCCTAGTCTGCAGTTTCTTTTGTGCTCGTTGGTCTTGGTTCCCATGGTTCTTTTTTTTGTTCCTATGTATACCTTACCACATGTGCATGGTATACGATAGACTCCAGCGCTTGACACTGGGTTCCTTTTATCCTTGGCTGATCTGATTGATTGCTGTATTTTCCTTGAAGATCGTTTTTATGTTGTGTTTCTTCAAGACTTTCCCGTTTTGGGTCGCATGGCCCTGTCGATTCCAGATGCATTGTATCCATTTGATAGAAAGGCTGACTTGAGGTGATCCACTTCTTGCTCGAGATATTGTGGCTCACAGATGTCCGAGCACGTTCTGTTAACGTTGTTATAATTCCACGTTTTTGCCTTGGATGGTGATTTGAGAGTGCATGCAGGTACGTGTCTGTGTGTGTGGGTTTTCGATACTATGTGTGGCTTAGTTTTCCTCCAGATTTCTTTATGAGTCCACCTAAGAAGGCGATTTCTTGGTTTTTCTCCATTTCCATGGTAAATTATATGCTAGGATGTTGCGCGTTCAGGTGGCCTATTAACTGGTTGAGCTTCTCTTCCCTGTGACTCTAAACCATAAAGGTATCATCTACATATCAAAGCCATACCGTTGATGCGTGGTCAAAAGATTCGAAGGCTTTCCTCTCGAAATCTTCCTGAAAAAGTTGGCTATGACCGGGCTGAGCGGACTTCCCGTAGCTACACCTTCCGTTTGCTCGTAGAAATCGCCGTTGCACAGGAAGTAACTACCAGTGAGACATGTCAACTTTGGTCTGTCAAATGCTATACCGCAGTTTCTAACTGGGTGGTGGAGGTTTGGTAGCTTTCTGTCTCACTTTAAAGCACAATGATTCAACTCTAAATAAACATTTCAAAGTCAAAATTTACCAAACGCCCTACCCACTGAATTCAATTCGGATCAGATTGTTGAGCTACGTCAGTCACGTACCAATTGGTTAACGATTCGCCTACCAAACAGCAGATGAAAATCTGGGGAGAAATCGCCTTATGTCAGGTACTTGATATCAAGTCAAGAGATTCCGTCAATGGCACTTTTGTGAATAGAAACACGACATCAAAGCTGACCAGGGTATCCTTAGGTTGGAGAACAATATCCCTAATTTTCTGGACGCAGTGAGTGGAGTCCTTGACGTAAGAGCTAGTTTTTCCTACATGCAGTTGAAGAAGCGATACAAGATGTTTCGCTAGGTTGTACGTACGCTAGGTTGTGCCTCAGATGCACGCACAATGGGTCTTAGCGGGACTTCAGGCTTGTGAATTTGGGGTAGGCCGTAGAGTCGTGGTGGAACCGCTTCCGTTTTTATGATGCCTTTCTTAACCATGTCTGTTAGGGTAGATGACCTAATCAGTTTGTTGGTGTTCCGGTGTATGGCTTGGGTGGGATCCTTCTTTAGCTTCCGGTTGGTAGATGGATCAAGGAGTTCCTGAATTTTCCAGTTGTAGTCTTCAGTTCTTAACAGGACAGTTGCGTTGCCCTAATCCGCAGGAAGGATGATCATATCTTCCGCTGAATTCAGGTTCTTAATTGCCCTTAGTTCCTTCTTAGAGAGGTAACTGTATGGTAGTCGAGCCTTTCGTAGAATACGGATTTCTTCTGCTTCCACATCAGATAGTGCTCTGATGGCTGCTTCCGTACTGGCTATAATCTCCTCCGTTGGCAGGTGTTGTGGAGTGATTGCGAAATTACCGCCTTTCGCCAAGACGGCTGTTTCCTCTTCAGTAAGGACTGGATCCGTGAGATTGATGACCAGTCTGGATTTGTCAGGCGCTGGGGAATTTCGGATTTGTTTCTTACAGAACTTCTCGTATTTTCGAATCTGGGCTTTTTTACTCTGAATTCGAAGATAGCCTTTTATTTTTCGGGTGACAGACAGGATAGGGAAATTCTTGAAGAAACACAACATAAAAACGATCTTCAAGCCAACAAGGAAAATATAGCAATCCATGAGATCAGCCAAGAATAAGAGAAACCTATTGTCAAGCGCTGGAGCCTATCGTATACCATGTACATGTGGTAAGGTATACATAGGAACAACAAAAAGATCCATGGCAACCAGGATCAACGAGCACAAAAGAAATTATTGCAGACTAGGAAAATCGGAAAAATCGGCAGTAGCGAAACATGCGCTTAGTGAAGGGAATCACGAAATACTATTTGGTGAGGTCAAGCTTCTTGCATCGACTTCCGGATGCCACAATCGTCTTGTACGTGAAGCTATAGAAATCCACGAACATACGGAGAACTTCAACAGGAAAGAAGAAACAACTTAACCAAATTTGGATCCCGATCCTTAAAAAGGCAAGAAAGATCCCATTGAGCACAGTGAAAGTTCAAATTAGCCACGTGCTGCGAAGCCCCTCCCCTCTCCCACCACAACCACTCACACATAATTACAACTTGCGGTCTGGAACGCGTCAGTCTGCTACCAGAATCGGACATGGAAGCATCTCTGAAGATGTTAGCCACGCGTGCTAGCGAAAGGTCAGGAAGAAATTCCAACTTACGACTGCCATTAAGCCCGAATGAAAATAATTTATTTTCACTATGTTCATGTTCTATTTTATTTTCCAATAAATGGACATTTTGTGTTTTTGTTTTTATTTCTTCTCCTTTAGGCCTGGATGCTCAAAAATAACAACACCGTATATAAAAGAATCCACTCCCATTGCCTCCAAAACTTTTATATTCATTATTCCAGAATCAATCCAGTGCGTAGAGTAGGCAGAAAATTATACAATAAAAAAAAATATGCTCCCAAAAATAATAATTCCGAGGACAACCGGTAAATTGACATTCGAGTAAATTCAGTTTGTGAAATCAAAATTCGGCTATGATTTGTGTATTTAGCGCCACATAAATATTTCGCGATTGCAGACGAACGGTTAATATTGGAGAGTCATCAATTTTGGCTGCATGCAAACAAAAAGGAATTTATTTCGGCCCCGCATCTAATTTGTGAACTTAAAATAGGTTTTTGGTTTGCAAATGTGGAGAGCCATTGTTCGATATGTACACATAGTTAATGGAATTGAGAATCAGGTTTTTCATTTTAACTTCATCTATTATTTCATATTGTTTGAGGCTATAAACATTTGAGAACTTGGCACGATACAAAATGCTCAAATTTATTATTCTTCTTCATAAATTCAAATATTTATCTGACGTTGCTCATCGATCGACAATTTTCACTTAAAATTTTTAATTGGAGATACTTGAAAAACATCCAGAACTTTGCCCTTTAAAAAATCAAAATAATTAGTTTTGTCTTCTTGTGCTACCTATACAAGTTTGAAAATATAAATTGCTGCAAGCAGCAATACTATCAAATAAACTAATTAATCATAATTACTATTTGTACAGTATATCATATTTTAAGTAACAATAGTTGAAATTCTCCCTTATTTGTCAACTCTGTCGGGCCAATAATTTTTCTTTATCCTCAACGATCGCCATTACGCTGACAAACCCTTGATGGGTTAAGCGTGTATTAACAGATGTTTTTTGTAATATCGGAATCTGACTGGCCGGTTTTGCACAAAGGCTAAACGGATCCATTACTCTAATAACATTTTTATAAGTCAGATCGATGACCCAGATTTTATCCCATTCAGATTTTGTTCGGGATAGGAGGGATGGAGCGTTGAAATAGAAAATTTTATGTATAGGTATAGATAGGGAGATAGGTTTATATATTTTATGACTCTTTAAAACTTCTAGTTATTCTGATACTCTTTGAGCATTTGGGCATTAACGATATTGCAATTGTTGCATCGACTCTTTTAAAATACATCCTGAAAATGTATAAAAACTTCTATACCCTGATAGATCATAACTCATTATAATGATTGAATTACATTTAAACTTGTAATCCACAGCTAACAAAGATGAATTATTTCAATTTGTGATTATTAGCTGTTCGGCTTGCCCTAAATTAGATTGCTAATTTGTTAATTTTCTGCCTAATGCATATTACATTGTTATTAGAACTGTATTGTTCTCTAGATGAATTATGAATGGATACATTAATTGTGTGAATATTTGTCAAACATTATGGTAAACGATTTGAGCCTAATTTTTTTTTCTGTTTCAGACAAAGATGAAAAATGAGTAAAATCTTCAAAGGTAAGCATTATTTGTAGCTTTTAATTTTTTGGTTGAAGAATTGTTTTATTCTTCGTTTGTGTGCACAGTAGACCATATAGTCAATTTCTGGAAAATTTATACTCACGAACGAAAATCGATTTCCAGGCAAGTCATATTTCGAGATGGATATCATCCGGAATACATTTGGTGATTTTTCCGAGTCTGTCGGTCGGAATGCGATAGAAAACGACCGATCGGCGGGGACACATATTTCCGCCGGCTGAAGTAGCGCTATTTACGCACGGACCCGTGCACATAAATATCGAGTTTTTCTACCCTTTTATATATGCCCGTCTAGGAGCGTCCTTTCCCAGAAATTGAGTGCTTTGGAGCACTGAGTGATTTAATTCAAACTTTGTAGCGTTTTCTGGTGTTATCTTAAACCATATGTAAGTTTCCCAATCACGATAGCCTTCTTTTCGCTATTTTACCCTGCAAAATACATTGCCATGACCAGCCACATGGAAACCGCACGGGGAATCTGAGGTTTGATGTTGGGTGGGTCTTTATGGACATCGATTTACGGAAGCTAGCTTCATCTACCCGCCGTCTTGCGACACTGTCCCTTAGGGGGCCAACGCCTTAATTTGAGAGGTACTGGCGAAGGGTGACCGGTACACTATCGGTCAGTTTCCTCTTAAGTACTCATATTAGTCAGATCTCTCGGAGAACGTTTGATGAGTAGTCGTCAAAGTCGCTTTCTACCTCATATCACACCAATACATGGCCTAGTCCTTTAGCCTAGATCGGTGGCGAGCATTTTCATTGGTGTGGCTAGGTGATCCAACATTCATCGTATTTCCATGTCTTTGGGGGCTTGATAACTTCCGTTCATAAGTTGCTGTTCCGGTAACTGACCTTGATGTTGGCTGGGTCGGTGCGCGGTACGCTATTAGTCATCAGCTTTTTTTTAGTCTCTCTCAGAAAGTTTGATGAGTAGCCGTTGAAGCCGCTTCCTACCTCGTATCACACCAATACACAGCCTAGACCTTTAGCCCAGATCAGTGGCGAGCATTTTCACTGGTGTGGCCAGATGATCCAATATTCATCGTATTCCCATGTCTTTGGGGGCTCGATAGATTCCCTTTATAAGTTGCAGTTTGAGCTGTATAAATTGTTCCAAGTCGGCCGTTGCTCAAAGACTATCAGGGAGTCTCGCCTAAGCCAATTAGTCTAACTATGAGTATTTCTCACTAAAACCTGTTCCCTCAGAGACATGTGCTTCAGATTATGTTTCTCATTTGAACAGTTCGCGATATTTGCCCAGCCGAAACTGGGATTTTTGGGAGTTCCCTACCACTGCCAGCAGACACTATCCACACAGTAAGTTACAAGGACAGGTTGGAGTACATTCCAAGCCGATCTGAGGTTTGGTGTGCCCTATACTTCTCAATAAAATCCAGTTATCATGTGGTAAATCCTCGGGTAAATCGTGAAGCTCTTGGTTCCAAAGAGTTTGAGGCTCTTGAGGGTCATTACTGGGCAGGTGAGGATTGATGCTGGCACCAAGATCTAAGCCCTGGTAATAGAAAAATAAAGTGATCATTACCTATTCTTCCCGCCAAAACATGGCGCAGACATTTTTTTGCCTTCAAAGAATAACTTGTATGTGCCTGCTTCCACTAATATGTTTCATTCTAGTGGTATTACCAAGACTCACTGTTTGTAAAGGCCTCAACCTATTGATGATAGAGCATCAAGTGTTGGAATGACATAATAGATATTTATTTTATTAGGAGTATAAGTAATACTTATGTGACGCGCATGGAAGTTTGAACGCCGAGCGCAGCGAGGCGAATCAAATCCATGCAAGTCACATGAAGAATACTTATAATCTGAATGAAATACAATATTTTATTTTCAAAGAATCTTTATTCCGAATAGTGCAGAATTTTTAATTTAAATTATGACATTCATATTTGGAAGGATCACCTTTATAAGCACCTATACCTGTATGTACAGGTGAACTACCTTGGATCGCTATGGAAAAACATGTGTAGCGGCGTATAAATGTTATACTCCGGCGGAGTAGAACACTTATACGCCGTTCAAGCTGAAAGTCATTGAAGTGACACTTATACCTTGTCAAAATGATCACAAAAATTACTGTTATATGACGATTGAAAATAATTTTTTTTTTGTTTATCAGTGAGCAGGAATGGTCTATGATTGAAAAAAAATCCCAAACCGATACTGGAACATCTGAGAAGCTTTTTCAAAATCGATGAGCGTGTATAGTAGTTTCCAGCGGTTTCTCATTTTCATCTTATTCTACAACTTGTACAGGTCTGGAACGAAGTAAAGCTTCAGTGAATTCTCCTCCTTGTCTAAATTTATTACACCATTCAACCTCTGCTCGTGCCATCCAAAGTCGGTTTATATATATTCTGATTTGTTGTGCATACTCATGCCACGATATTCACTTTGCTGCTGGTTTTTGCTTTCCGTCCGTTTATAAGTTTGTTCGTCAGTATATTCCGTTTTCAGCGGTCAAATTTTCCAGTATTTTTTGTGAGGTAATTATTTCTCCTAGTTATTTGCATTTGTCTCTCATTACTTTCTTTTTTGTTTCAACTTTTTTATGTCCTAGCGCTTTTACATTGTTTCTTCATTGACTTTCTTGAAAGCAACTGATACCCCAGGGAAATTCGACCAAAAAAAGGGTTATCTGCGGAATGAGGCCGAACAAACTGAATTTTTGCAGAGACCTTCGTTTTGATGTTCTTATGAAGCATACAAAAATCGAATATGCCTACCCTTGTGCGTCTTGAGATATCGAAGATCAAAGGTCACGAAAATCGTTTTTTTGCGAAAATCTCGCTTCGAGTGCATCTGACGTCGAAGAACCCAAAACAAAACTTACGTAAAATAGTATTTTCTACAAAATTGTTCCTATACATTTTTTTGTACGACCAATCGTTTTCGAAATATAGCGTGATAAAGCGGGAGCGCGCATTCAAAATAGGTGATGCTGTATTATACAGGGTGTAATCGTTCAACTGGTCAAAAATGCTAGGGTATATAGAAGAACCATAGAGAAGTAATTTGAGATAGGACACCGATGGTCGGAAGTGCATCGTTTCCAAAATACTGTAACCCCTTTTGTTAATGAATTAACTATGGGTCCATAATATGCTCGGTTTGCTCAGCCAATAATTATTAGGGGTGGGTCGATAGTATTTAATAAGTACAGTATGGCTAGGGCGCCACTGAATTTGAATTTTTTTTTTTTATAAAATTGCATAAAATATAGAAGTGTGAAAGTTCAGAAACACACCTAGAAAATAATTAGCAAACGGTAATTGGTAATCCTGAAAAAGAAATAAATAAGGCACACATTTCAACAAACCCTGACCTAGGTAAACCAATAAAACAATTAAGTAAGTTTCAAATTAAAATCGTATATATTTAACAGTGAGGTTGAAAATCAAAAACCAACCAATCTCAACGTATGACATCAATTATTGCTGTTAATACAATTTAAAAAATCAATTCATAGAGGTCAAATTCCAATCAGCAGTATCACCAAATTCAAAGTTTTTAAAAAAATAATAATATTCAAATGTACCTCAATATAAAAAAAATAAATTCGATTAAATCAATTTATACCTGAAAGAAATCAAAAGTTGGGCTGGCTATAGTATAACGGTTAAATGGTCTGGAGATTAGATAGAAATCCTCAAATATATAAGTCGTAGGACCCAGGGTTAAAAATAGATCAATTTTTGACGTTATAGGTACTTACACAATAATTTCAAACTTAGAACATAGTGTCCAACCTTGACCTCAGTTCAGATAATTGATTATGATTAATAAGAAAAGATAAAACGTAAGGCAATATTTAAATATAACGGTACTAAAAGTTAAGTAAAAAATAATAATCTATAGTAAATACACGGCAAATCAAAAATATAAAAAAAAATATTCAAAATTCACTAAAGTGTCAAGAATAACCCAATTGAAACTTTTAAAAATATAAAGGTAATGTCGATAAAAATGTAATAAATTAATTACGTTAATTGAATACAGAACGGAATTAAAAGCAAAAAGATACAAAAGATAATAAGGAAAGTCTATACAAGCCTCAATTCCAACGGAAAGGTAGATTACGGTTTCTAGTCGGTAGCCATCCAGTCCTTGAGGTCACTGGAAATCGTAGATTCTAACCTGGAAGATTCTAGAGGTTCAGTTTTCCTCTTCAAAGGTAGAGGTACAGGAATCGGCACGTGAAAGACTCAAGAGCTCTAAGCCCAGAGATAGGGCTTGTTGACAATGAATCCCTTGAGAACAACTGCTTCTCGGAAAATACAGGTCAAAATAGGCTCTCGGAAAAACCCTCGATAATATAGGCATTCCATGAACAACTATCACTTAGAAAAAAATTAAAGAAACTTACCACGTGGGTTTCGAAATTCAAACTTGAATAAACCGGTAATCACTAGACTTTTTAATTCTAATTTTCTGCAATGAACAGATTACTGCCTCACGCAACAGAATTTCGTTGAGGTAAGGTAATGCCAGAAAGGCCGGTAAGATACTTTATTTTTCTTCCACGAGAACGGTAATTTCACTTGAGGAAGGGAAGATGGCTGGCCCCCTAGGCCACCTCGGACCTTTTCAAGGCAACGGCACGAGTAAAAAAGGGACTTTTCAATTTTCTCTTCAAGAATAAATAGTTTTCATTTGACAGTATTGAAGGAAAAACACTGTCAACCTGTCGACCCTCAGCTACATACATATGTAGAAACTACTACGTTCTAAAACTATTAACGACGTTGAAGAGCAACTGAGTACTGGGCGTCGAATAGATCTAGGTAGTACAAAAGAAAACGCCTACTCCATTCTCGAGGTCGCCGATAAAATAATACATTCACCCGGCAATAGATGCCGCCACATGGACTGAATAATTATAGAAAATTTAAAATGTTAATATTATTTAAAGAAAAAAAAGCAAGTAACATTTCCAATGTTACAATAAC